ATATGCAGTATGAAAAATTCGGTTTGTATGAGAGATGCCACACCCCTTTTTACAATAGCTAAAATTTTTCTCCAAGGGTATGCGATTGATTTCGTATATCTCCATACCTAGTTCCAGAACTCTACCATGTACACTTTCAGAGATATGTAGCATGAGAAATTCGGTTTGTATGGGAGGTGCCACGCCCCCTTTACATATAGACTAAAACTATCCTTGGGACACGTGCGGCTGGTGGCAGATTCAAAAAACTCGGTTCAGCCGCTCTCGAGCCTTGCGAAAACTAAAAAACGGCTTTCAAAATATATATTAGTTGAGATACATATATTATATAATAATAATAATATTATATATTATAATTATATTTTGACAGTATCCGTTGTTTATGATTGGCGCAAAAAAATCTTGCCTAGTGACGAATTCGCCCCTTGATATGGCGGTTGCTCAAAGCTATTTATATTCGAAATTGCATCAAAATTAGAAAAGAGGATTCTATAAGCTTATCCAGGCAAAAAGCTACCTACGTACCGAATTTTAAGCAAATCGGACCGTAAATACGATTTTTTCGAATAGATCGGTACCTGGTCCACTTTTCGGACAAAAATGGATCATATATGCTAAAAAGCTACTTACGTACCAAATTTTAAGCGAATCGGACCGTAATAAGATTTTTTCGAATAGGTCGGTCTCTGCTCCACCTACCCGAAAAAAGTAAATTTTTTATCCTAAAACATGGTGGTTACTGAAAGCTAGTTATATACAAAATTTCATGAAAATCGGACCAGCCGTTCGCGAGATTACCTGTTACAAAAAAAGGGACTTATCTTTATATAATTAGTATAGAATAGATTATAAAAAATTTGGTATGGTTTTTTGCCATTTTTTTCATTGTGCGCTATTTTTTAGATCTAAACAACATAGAAACATATAATGAAAGTTAACGGCCCTAAGAAAGGAAAAAGTTGTAAAATTTTTTATGTATTGTACAAAATTATTATTATTTTTTTATAATTTCTGAGCAAAAAAGATAACGTGCTTCGAACACTCTAAATATTAAAAGAAAACTTCGTTGATTTCAAGTAGAAATAAAATAAAAATATATATATCTAATATATATTTATTTTAAAATTAGGTAAAACTTGACATTTAAGAACAATTTAAAATAACGATTAAGCCAAAAGATAAATAACAAAACATTGTATGTTTTAATTGAGGACTAGTCTGGTAAAAAAAAAATACATAATTCACAAAGTTCTTTTAATATGAAGAAAAAGCACGACTTGGTACCATATGCATACCTATTTCTAAGGGTATATGTATGAAAAATTGTGTTATAAAATTTTTGAATGAATATTCATTCATTCTGCTGAGTGTACCTACTTTATTCAACAATAACGCGTCATCAACCTAGGGCTGCGACATCGACATCGATGTTTGTAAAACATCGATGTTTTGAGACAACATCGAGTGTTTTGAACATCGATTTTTGCTACCCGATGTTTTATCGACATCGATTTTTTGCTTCGATGTTTTTCTTCGATGTTCGGCTTATTTACAACCAACTTCCAGCAATTGACCAACTGGTTCGCCGATAAATCAATGCGTGTGTAGGGCCTTTAAAGTTGCCATACTTAGTTTTGGACAAAAACAATCGATTAATTTAATCAAATGATTAGTCGCTGGCATCCCTAGATGGGCGCCACCTTTGATCTCTACATCGTGATCTCAAGGCATATTGCAGAAGTTTTTATTGTTTTTATTGTCACTAAATTCTTTGTTTCCAGTTTTGATTCATAATAGTGGAATGGCGCCTAAAAGTAGCGTGTGGAAGTTTTTCGAAAAACACAATAAAAAACCGAATGAATTGGCTGTGTGTGTTGTTTGTAACAAACACCTAAAAACATGTGGCAATACAAGCAATCTCATAGGTCAAATTAAAGCTATGCACAATGATATTTTTGTAACCCATCTAACATCTTCCGAAAAAGTTCTTAATAAGACCGACGGCACCGAAGTGAATAAAAATGCAAGTCTCGTTCCCGCATCTTCAGAAACTTGCCCAAGTACCAGCTCATCACACCATGTATCTGCGCTATCATAAGGAGGTCAGCAGAATTTGCAAACGTGTTTCGCAAATATAAGCTCTTTTTAGGACGGCGGTGATAAAAGTAACAAAATAACAGCGGCTATCTTGTTCATGATATGCCGGGACAATCAGCCCATTTCTATCGTGGAAGACGAAGGGCTTTGTCATTTATTAAAAATAGTATCGCCATTGTATAAAATACCTTCAAGGAGAACGTTCGATTCTCTCCTGGAGAAAAAGTACGATTTCATTTCGAATTTGGTCAAGAAGGAATTGTCGACGGTACCCTTCATATGTTTAACCACTGATGTGTGGACCGAAACACACCAAACGAAAGCATTTCTTGGAGTTACTGCGCATTTTATTTCATCTTGTGGAAATGAAAAAACGTTTAAATTGGAAAGTATTGTACTTGGCGTGAAAGAACTGACAGTAAGTCACACTGGGGAAAATCTTTCTGAGGTGTTATCAAACGTTTGTACTGAGTGGAACATAAGTAAAGATAAGGTCGTAGCAGTTGTAACCGATGGAGGAAGCAATATGATCAAAGCAGTAGAATTAGCGTTCGAAAAAAGAAAGCGCTGCTATTGCTTCGCGCATTTATTGAATCTGCTAGCTCAAAAGTCCATTGACTCTCTTCCTGAGCTAAAAATTGTTTTGGATCAGGTAAAGTCCATTGTGACTTGGTTTAGACATAGCGTTGTGGGAAGTGACGAACTAAGAAAAAAAACTAAGCTATTAGAAAAAAATACTTTTATGCAGTCAGTTTCATCGCGTTGGAATAGCACATATTACATGGTAGAAAGGCTCTTATTTCTCCGAGAAATAGTTAATAATATAATCACGTTCAACACCAGTGCACCACAAATGGTGTCAGCTCTCGACATGGAAGTTTTGAAGGATTTTGTAGTTATGTTCAAACCAATTGAATTTGCAACAAAAGAAGTTTGTTACATCTAGCATCGTTATACCAGTGGTTCGCTTGTTGCGAAAAAAGGTCATGGGAGCTACAACCAATACGAGCTTGGGAACTAAATTGAAGGGAAACATCATGATAGAATGGAACAAGCTGTTCAAAAACATCGAGCATTACTGGCAGTTTGCGATGGCTACGATACTTGATCCGAGGTTTAAAAACAACCATTTCGATGAGAGTGTGGCAGTGGGGATGGCAATCCGGAAGTTGGCATCTGAAATGAAGGAGGAAGAAGAAGAAACGTCATCAGAATCCAATGCTGAACAAGTCAACCAAGATGATGAAAGTGGTAGGTATTTCTGACTAAGGAACCTGATGAACAAAGGCCTAATGCGGACATAAAAACTTTGCCAGTAATTTTTATGCCACTTTTGCAATAACGAGTAAAATGCATATTTTAACTAAACGTTGACGTATATTTTGTTTTCAGGTGATGGCTTTAGTCTATGGGACGACCACCACAGGCTCGTACAGGAAACTTGGAAATCAAAAAAACGGATAAGGACTGTAGATGAACTAGGCACATTAAATACGATGCCACCGGAATTATCAATTTATTTGAAGAGCCCAGTCGTTAAGCTAACGGAATGTCCCCTGGATGTGTGGGCAGAAGGATACCACAAAAACTCTTCTTTGTTGAAAATAGCAATGAAATACTTAACAGTGATGGCAACTTCCGTGCCGTCAGAACGTGTTTTTTCCACCACGGGAAATATTGTTACCTGTAAAAGAAGTTGCTTATCGGGAGAAAAACTGGACAAACTGCTTTTTTACAAACTGTTAATAGTAAGTTTTGGGGCTTACAGTGATATTAATGTTATTCAGTATTGTTATTTTACGACAATTATGGTATATTTACCACTATTTGATTTTTGCATCATTCATTTACTTTTCGCAAGTGTCTCATTTTTTTGTAATTAATTGAGTTAATTGACTTATGTTTTGTTGAGTTTTTGTTATTCTGCGAAATAAAAATGTACGTTTTAAAAGAATATACTGGGCGTTATGCGTAAAAAGTTTTATGCATAAATAGTCGAGTTTAAGCTCACATCACAGTACAAAACCTGAACCTGAGCCCAAGCTCACATTTTATGTATGAGGTTATATTATGTGAGAGGTATAATGCAGAAAAGTTTACTCATTTATTACACATCTTCATTAAAAAAAAAAGTCATTAAAACATCAATGTTTTACCAACATCGATATTGACCCCAGCAGAACATCGATACTTGAAACATCGATGTTAAGTGGTCGATGCCGCAGCCCTACATCAACCTGCTTCGCCTATTGTTTGCATGCAACTAAATAAAATTTGTTGCTCTTCTACTCTTTCTGTTGACGTTCGGATTGTGTAAGCAGCCGATTGTGTACATGTGAAAGGCCGAATATAGTTCGTTTCCCAGGAAAGTGTTTGGCTGGCACTGGTCGAAAGGCAGAACGTACCGGGCGCAATTGTACTGTAAGCATTTGACAAAGCTGAGAGAAGCTGTTCGTTATGTTCTCTTCTTTTGTTGTTGGTAGCAGGGTTGCCAATTTGGTAAATTGTTACCAAAATTGGTAGAAAAAATTTGGGTTGGTAAAAAGGTAAATTTTTTCTCGTTTTGGTAGCTTTTTGATGAACTTTCCGTTCCCGATTTATTTTTCGTAGTTATCTTTAAATATATTAAAAATTTCTTTGCATACTTTTTATGTTGCAATCTGGCAATATTGCATCAACATTCATTCTTTATTATCTGTCATTCTTTAAATACATACATACACTTTTACTCTTTGTACACATTTTACTTACTTCTGAATAAACCACCAAGCTGAACGGAATAGAAAAGGCGTGCGTTTTATTAGGTTATGGGACCAGAAGTTTCCATGCGATTTTGAAGTCATCAAGTATCATAAAAGTAATCCAGAATGGCTACTTCATCACTATATGCCATAGAAAAACTCGATGTGTCGAATTATGAGACGTGGACAGTGCAAATGCGAAGTGTACTTATCCACGGTGGCCTTTGGAAAGTAGTGACCGAAGTTAAGCCTACAAATGCGGATGAGCTGGCGTTGTGGACAGTAAGTGACGAAAAGGCGTTAGCTACTATCATACTCAGCGTAAAATCGAACCAACTAAGCTATATTAAAAACTGCAAGTCGTCGGCAGAAGCGTGGCTGAAATTAAAAGAGGTGTACAAGCCGCAAGGGCCGATACAAAAGGTGTCTTTATACAAGCAACTCTTAAGCAAGCGTATGCAGGATGAAGAAAATCCACAAGAATTCATCAACGCATTTACTGAGATCGCAGACAAACTCTCGGAGACTGGAATAAATATCCAGGATGATTTGCTAAGTATAATCCTTTTATCTAGCTTACCCAAATCATTTGATAACTTTGTCATAGCTATGGAAACCCGAGATAGTTTACCTTGTTTCAGCGCATTAAAGATAAAGCTTATAGAGGAGGGCGAGCGGCGCAAGCGGCAGAACGAACCGGCAGAGGTTAGTACACAGCAAGCATTTATAGCGGCCGAAAAAACTTACAAGAAACCGCAGTTTGAGCAACACGACAAGAAGACGCAAAATAAATCTAAATTCAAATGCTTTGCATGTGGAAAAAGAGGGCATTTCGCGAACAAATGCAAAGAAAAAGAAAAACGCAATTCCAGAGAAACTGCAATGAATGTCATTGCAATGACAAACATGCAGAGCAAATTCGACGACACCTGTTAGTACATGGACAGCGGTGCAACATCGCACATGTGTAATAAGAGATCGATGTTCGTACAGTATGAAGAATTTCATGAAAAAATTTGGCTAGCATCAAATACAGCAATTACAGCATTAGGCAGAGGCGATGTATTATTAAAAACAAAACAACGAACACTTCGCTTGGAGAATGTGTTGTACTCGCCTGAGTTGAAGGCAAACTTCATTTCCATCAGTAAAGCAGTAGAACATGGTATGTCGATAAAATTCGAAAGCGGGCATGCGCATATAACCGACAAGTACGGTGAGCTTGTTCTAACAGCGGCGAAAAGGCACAACTTGTATGTGGTGGAATTGAAGGAAGAGAGATTGTGCGCATTGAACAGCAACCAAATTTGGCACAATCGGTACGGTCATCTCAACTACCAAAGTTTGTCTCAATTGCAAAGAAATGATATGGTTCGTGGTATGCAATTGTCTGGTCGAAGCGATGAAGCACTTGGTTGTAACACTTGTATGGTGAGTAAAATACACACGTTACCTTTCCCAAAGCAATCTGAACGAAGATCTGAGATGTTATTAGAGTTGATCCATTCCGATGTGTGTGGCCCAATAAACATAAAATCCGTGGGTGGTGCTCGTTATTTCTTAACCCTAATTGATGACAAATCAAGATTTATACATGTTTATTTTTTAAAGGCAAAAAGCGAGGTTTTGGATAAATTTAAAATGTTCAAGGCTTATGTAGAGCGTCAGACAGGTTGCAAAATTAAGGCGCTAAGGAGCGATAACGGCAGGGAATACATTAATAACGAATTTGATAAATNTGTTGAAGTTATATAGTATGGATAAATGCAAAACTAAAGCAGTACCCTTAGAAGCAGGCTATCAAACCATGTGCGATGATGATTGCAATAAGGCAGACGCTAAGCAATATCAATCGTTGATAGGTGCGCTTATGCACTTAGGTTTAACAACAAGGCCTGACATACTACATTCTGTCTCAAAATTATCACAGAGAAACAAAAATCCACACATTGAACATATGACCGCTGCTAAACATATATTGAGATATTTGAAAGCAACTTTAGATTTTAAACTTTTATATCGTGCAGGTGGCAGCTGTATCGAAGGCTTCGTCGATGCGGATTGGGGAAGTGATCCTCATGACCGCAAATCTTATACAGGTTTCGTGTTCTTTTACGCCATATCGTGGGAGTCAAGGAAGCAAACAACAATAGCCTTAAGCAGCACAGAAGCCGAATATATAGCGGCATCGAACGCGGCTAAAGAAGCAGTTTATTTGCAGCGCCTGCTGAAATAATGAAGTTTCAGTGTTGCCTTTAGTTTCATCACTTCCGCTTTTGGTTGAAGGAAACTGAGAATATGCCAATAATATGACTCAAATACCCTATAACTAGTTAATTAAAAAGCTCTTAAAAACAATTTTAATTCTTATTGAAATAACTAAAAAAAAATAACTATGGTCTTAATTAAAATAAATAAAAAAATAAGAAAACTATAGTTTTTATTAAAGTGATTATAAAAAATTATTGGTAGATATTTCCCACATTTGGTAGATTTTTTTCAAGTGGATGGTAAATATTTTTTTCGTCAATGGCAACCCTGGTTGGTAGGCCACTGATGATGACATCCGAAGATATGAGGTTATTCTCATGCTCGCTCATTTTTTCAGTCAAAGCATGTACGTCCTGCGAAGCTTTTCACACTCCATCTCGGTTTTTTTCATACGCTCATTAACGTCTTTAAGCGATCTTTTTAAATTTGAAATTTCCGCTGTCATCTCACCAAACCTCTCCAAGGCACGCTCTTCAGATTGCCTCATACATATTAGGTTCATTCCTTATCTTTTTGGACTAAAATCTGAAAAGTGTCAAAATGCCAGAGCGTAAGCAAAATGCGCTCACTAAAAGAGAATAACAGGAAAAGTAAAGGAACGCAAAAAACCAAATTTTTAGTCCAAAGAATGCCAACAACAAAGCTAACATCAAATAAGAATGGAAATGTATGTACAAAACACATTCACACAAGCACAAGCACAATAAACACTTACTATATCAATTATTTTTTGCCTCCTTCCAATTTGAATTCACTGTTTTTACTTTTTAGATTATTCTCACTTTTTGCGTATTCTTGAATTTCCGTTAATTTAAATTCAGTTGAGTTTGACACTTTTCAGGATTTTGCCAGAAAAAATTCTTCTGACTAAATCTGACTACTTCGGACTAATGAGAGTCACTCTCACTGTGTGTTGCTCTCTCATTTTTGCTGTCATTTCTGAGTTAAGGAACGCTTTTTGGACTAAATCTGACTACTTCGGACTTTTTCTGACTATTTCTGGGAGATAAGGAACGCTCCTATTGTTAGCTGTTCGACTATACTTTGCTTATGAGCAGATGTGGGCACTACCACAAACAAGCGTGAGCTAAAAGTGAGAATGTGTTAGTGTGCCTAATTTATTTTGCATGCTGTCGTGTTCTCATCGCTGCGCTCTCGCTTGTATACGTACACGCAACGCTTACGCTCTTTTACCACCTGCTAACTCTCTGCCCATATCTGCTTATTAGATTCTTATGAGATCTTATGAGGGATCTTAGGTGAAGGGGAAGACTTACGTGTAGTTGTTCTTGTTGAAATTTTTTACATGTTAACAAAGCAAAATTAAACAATCTAGAATGCACCAAGTTTTTAAGATTTTAAATCTGCAACTACGTTGGCAGGTGACTTAAAGTTGCTATGATATCGGTACACTCGGACAGTTTTACCACTCACAGAAACTATGATATCAATTTAACCAATTAAAGCACACGGTGGATTGAAGAAAATATGGATAATACTGCAGCTACTTATGAATGCGTCTACTCGCGTGATATTTGACAATTTCTTTTTGTACATATGTACACATACAATAAAAGTTGGCTCTTTATTTCCGGGTTGGGGCGTGTCCCGTCGTGCCGGAATTTTCCAAGTGCAAGTAGTTAGAAAATTTCACTAATAATTAAAGCTATCAAAACAGGTGTCCATCAGGGATCAATCCTTGGTCCTCTATTGTTTAGTATGTTTGTAAATGATGTCTTTTGGGTGTGCAAATATGTTAATGTCCATGCGTATGCTGACGATATTCAGATGTACCTTTCGAATCGTATAGGTCTCGTCGAGGATTTATGTTATACGGTTAATAGTGATCTGTCCTGTATATTATGTTGGGCGCAAAGGAATCTTTTATGTTTAAATGCTGCTGAGTCGTTTGTCATGCCTATATGTAAAAGTGTAATAGACCCTATCTACATCCCACCTCTGTGGATTGGTACAGCCGCCCTCATGACCACTGACAAAATTCGGATTTGTAAATCATAAGTTAAGCTGTTGTGATCATGTTAATAAAGTAGTAAGTAATGTATTAGTAACTTTACGTAGGCTAGGGATGTATGCTTCGTTTACGCCCCAGGAAACACGACGAAAACATGTTATGCAGTTAATTTTGCCACATTTCACATATTCCGAAATAGTTTATAGCAAACTTGACTAAAAAACGGTCGGCAAGATAAATGTAGCTTTCAATAACGTAACACGGTATGTGTATGGCATTGGACGACATGCTCATATATCGCCATGGCGTGATAAAATTCTTGGTTGCAGTATTATTATAAATTTTTTGGCTGCAAGAAACTGCATTTTTTTGTATAAATTATTAGAGTGGAAAGTCCCGCAATATTTGTATGAAAAGCTTCAACTAACCAAATCACAAAGACATAACAGCTTGATTGTTCCTAAATATTATTTGCTTACTTCCAGTCGACTGTTTTTCATTAGTGCTGTAAGACTGTGGAACTTGCTTCGAGAAAGTGTTAAAGCTAGACTGCATACTTCAGTGGCCTTGATATGTCCTCTGACTACAAATAATCTTGGTGCGTACCTTTTTCCTTTTTCTTCCTGTACTTATATATTCCATACTTACATTATCCATCTCCTCTTTCCTCTTTAATCATTTACATTTGCTGTATTATTATTAAGTTTACATTAAGAACTCATATATTTTAGTTGATATCTTTTCTTGGCAAATTATGTTAGTATAAGATTATATATCCGCTAAGATTGCATGTACGTACATATACAAAGCGAGAGCGTGCGGCAGCTGTGCACTGTTCGGACTACTAAAATACGTTTTATGAGTAAATCACTCTTAAAATAGGGAAAAACTAAATTTCCGTAGTAGATTTGTTTTTTTATTATCGCATTCATGCGAATATAAAAATTTCCGAATTTTCCGACATATAAAAAAATCCAAAAATTTTCATCTACACATTCATGTTTCTGGCATGCGGGGGACGATATGTACTTGCCGATTTGTTTTACAAAAATTATTAAAAAAGCAGACGTCTCGGTTGCTCAGCAAACCAGTAAATCGTTTCTGCAATTATTTCACAATGATTCTCTAAAACAAATTTTCGATGTATTCTTAAAATGCATAATCCTAAAGGTAAATTTTATAAGAAATTAAACTAACAATTTACTAAAACTAGTAGTAACCTCAAATACGGGTGAGTACTTAGCTCAAAATTTATTTAAAGAACTTCGTGAAAGACGGCAATTAATTTTGTATTGCTAGACACCTGATAGCTCAGGATAATTTTTAAGTTCTTAATAGATATTAAGGTATAGTCCAACCTTTCACAATATCTGGTATTAGTCTCAATCTGAAACGCAATAATCATTGAAAATTGGCGCCGTTTATGGTGAAAGGCATTTAATATCACACTTTCAAACTAAAGCTTTCTTAACCCTAGAAGCCTAATCTATTTGGTAGTAACGTAAAGCCTTAACATACGCTGTAGAGGCTTATGTACTTAAAAGATAACCTGTGAGCTAAAATATACTTAGTCCTGCCTTATTTTTTTAAAGAATATTGAAGTTGTGAGTTTGACTAATAATAAAACATAGTTTTATTAATAAAAACTATAACCACATTTATTTAAAACAAGAAAATAAGAAGTAAATTTTGTGTTAAAAGTAAAAAAAAAGACCCATTCCCATTCTTTAATGGCCAGTGATATCCTCGGTATTTGAAAATGAAAGGGATCTCAGCTATTTTTATTTTTTGGTTTCGTGAAATATATTTTAAAACTATGAATAATAAGTTTTCCGAATTTCAATTCGACGGAAATATGGTTAATATTTTTCAATAGATTATATTACTCACTATTGACTTTTCTGCCGCTTTTTACATTTTTGACAAACACGGTCAACTGCAACTGCAGCTTGCACTTTAGTTTGATATATAGCTCAATTCTGTGGCTGCTACAGATCGGCCTAAGTCGTATGATTTATTATATACAGATACTATAGGCCTGAATTACAAAACATAGCGACATGTAACACATCATGCAAAGGCCAGTTTATATCATGTCGCTTATACATGTTTGAAAGTGATATATGAAGACATTGCGAATAAATTCAAATCAAGTCATGCGTCAACAATGGGAACACATGCAACATATTCAGCATTATTATTTACATTGTATATACGGGAAGGGATTTTCCGAACTTTGCAAGCTCCTACTATAGTAAAATTTATTAAACAATTATCTAATTAAAAATCTATATACCAACGAGGGCGAACGTGGCTCTTTGAGCCAAATGCGGCCCTTTGCTTAGCAAAGTGCGTCTCTTTTTACTTTCTCCTTGCTTAGAACATTTTTGCTCTTTTTACTTTTTAAAATACATATTACACATATACATATATATTTTACATACATACATATTATACATATAAATACATATTTTAGCACACAGCAATTTGCCAACAAGAGAATAGCTTATCAAGAAGAGCTGGCTGGAATTCACGCAAATCCCTAAATTGAGTTTGATGGTTTGGAAGTTGAAATAGTAAATTCGACTAATTAAACTTGTAAGGAATAAGTAATTATTCGTTTAGTCAGTGAACTGTGTCAGGATAAGAATTCAGGATTTGTTTTCTTACGTTTTCAATTTTATACTTTTTACAGGTCTATTCTGCGCTGGTAACATAAATTTTATAACCGGTAATTAAAGTGTCTGTCAATTTGTAAACCTTTTTCGCATTCTGTGCTCTCTTGTAACCGGTAAATTTGGTTACCATCTCATAAGCTGGTAACAAAATATTGCCCCGTGAAATATGCAATACAGGAAATTCCACAAATCATAGCTGAGTTGCTGAATATTTTCACTGCATTACCAACGT